TCAATCTTGTTTATCTTTTCAAAGAACCAGCTCTTGGATTTGTTGATTTTTGTATTGTTTTCTTTGTTTCAATTTCATTAATTTCTGCCCTGTTTTTGTTATTTCTTCTTGTCTGCTGGGTTTGGGTTTCGTTGGCTGTTGCTTTTCAAGTGTCTTGAGTTGCAACATTAAGTCATTTATTTGTGTCCCTTCCAATTTTTTGATGTAGGCACTTAGTTGAACACATTTTTTTAAAAAGTATTTTATTTATTTTTATTTTATGTGTATGAGTGTATTGCCTGCATGTATGTGAGTGCCCCTGTGTCATGCAATGCCTCAGAGGTCAGAAGAGGGCTTTGGATTTCCCTGGAACTGGAGTTAGGGACGGTTCGTAGCCACCATGTGGGTGCTGGGAATCAAACCCAAGTTCTCTGCAAGAACAGTCTGTGCTTTTAAATGCTGAGCCATCTTTCCAGCCCCTGGTTGAACACATTCTTATCATGACTGCGGCTCTAGGTTTAATCCCTACTGCTGCAAAAAAATTTATTCTAGATCCAGATACAGTGGTGTATGCCTATAATCCCAGAACATGTTAAATTGAGGCAGGAGAATCAGGTACTGTTCAATGCACAGTAGCTACATGAGACCCTGTCTCAAAAAAAGAGGGTAGGGAGCTAGAGAGATGGCTCAGTGGTTAAGAGCAATTGCTACTCTTTCAGAGGACACAAGTTCAGCTCCAGTACCCACATCAGGTGGCTCACGACTTCCTGTAACCCAGCTCTAGGGAATCTGACATCTTGACATCACACACACACACACACACACACACACACACACACACACACACACAGAGAGAGAGAGAGAGAGAGAGAGAGAGAGAGAGAGAGATTTTCTGACAACCATAATAACATTGTTATGCTTAACATAACTAATGATTGATAACTAGTCAGTCCCTAGTCACATGAACCTGGTGTGTACACTTGTCTGTCCATTGAGACCTATACAATAGGCCTCTTAGTTCCTTTTGCACTAGAGTGACCATATAATTTGTGTCCAAGTTGGATGCTTATAATCACATGAAGGTGGCAGGTGTAACAGGGCTTCCCTTGGGCAAGTGAAGACCTATAACCACTTCTGTTGAAGTACCCTTTGAGATGAGGTGGCCCTGCTTTTCTTTTCCACATCATCAACTTCAACTGTCCTTTGGGTTTCTGGGTTTACATCTGCCGCTTAGTCTGTGCTGTATGCTCTGTCTCCTTCTGCCTGTATTCTGTTAGTCATCACTTTAAGGCTTTGATTGGATTCAGTTTGAATTATATTGGTGTACTTGTGTCTGGTGATAAGCTATACTAGTGATGGTGTAACATCCTGCTTTACATCACAAGGCCCTGTTCATCTGGTGTCCCTACTTCCTGTGGAGTGCATATGAGTTCTCTACATCATTTGTTCAACTGATGGTTGGACCATGTGTCATCCTGAGTCAGTGCATTGAAGTTATTTACCCCTGTTTCACAGAAGAGTCACATGGAGGTTAGGTGCCATAAGTGGGGTCACATTACATAGTCAGTAGCTAAGGCCAGACAGAGACTTGAGTCTGGGTTGGTCCAAGAGCACAGGCTCTTAGCCCCAAGGCCAAGCTGGCTGTATGCTGGTTATTATCTTTGTAGATGAGCTGTTCTTATTTTTAAAATTTCCTGTGTATTTGATATGTTGTGGTGTATGGTATATACTTGTTACTGTGGGTGTGTACATGCAGATGTGTACATTTGTACATGTACCTGGGGAGGCCAAAGGTCAATATCAGGTGTCTCCTCAATTGATCACTCTCTATCGTTATATTTTGGGACAAGGTCTTTCACTGAACTTGAAGCTCATTGATTTGGCTAGACTGATTGGCTAGTGAACTTCAGGGATCTGCTTTGTCTCCATGTCCAGTGCTGGGTTACAGACATGCACTGCCATTCCTGGCTGGGACTCAAATCTTCATACTTGCTCTATAGGCATGACTGTGCCATCCCCCCAGCCTCTTATTTATTTATTATTTAATTTATTACATTTGTTTATTTTGTGTGTTTATGTACATGTATGTGTTTATGCACACGCCGCAATGTATGTATGGAGGTCAGACGACAACTTGCAGGATTTGGTTCTTTTTCTACCATGTGGTTCCTGGGAAATGAACTTGAATCATCAGACTTGGTAGCAAGCACCTTTACTCATCTTGTTGACATGGTCTCATATTGCTTAGGCTGACTTTGAAATTGACATGTACCCGAGACTAGCTTTGAACTCCTGCTCCTCCTGTCTCTGCCTCCTGAATGCTGAGATTTCAAGCATGTACCACAACACCCAGGTGATGAGCTGGTTCTAGTGGGCTGCATAAGGGGGGCTTTAACACTCACTTTGTTGGGGGTTACCAACTTTAAACATTAGAAATGGCCAGACTCATTCAGTGTTGTCTGGAAGACCTGAAAGAGTGGAGAGGGGCTTGGCCCAGGTTCCTGCCCCCAGAACCCAGGAACCCATCTTTGCAAGACTTCCTCAATACAAATTTTTCTTGTGAAAGAAGCACTCTTTTCCACCCCAGCATAGTTCTGAGACTGAGCATAGGCTGAGAACTCACTGTGTAGGGCCCAGAGACCTTTGTTAGTTAGTGTTGACAGGCTCAGTCTTCCACAGTAGTTGTCAGGAAGGCTGAAGGTTAGCCTATATAGGGCTTGGTATACTCCTTCACTCCCTTCAAAAGTCTACCCTTAAAGTTAGACCTCTTGACATGGATCCTGCCTGCCCTTATGCAGACGGGGTCTCTAGCTCTGTCTGAAAGAGATAAAAGTAGGGCTTGGGATTAGCTCAGTTGGTACAGTACTTACCTAGCATGCTTGAGGTTCTGGGTTCCATCCCAAGCACTTTATAAACTAATTATGGTAGTGCCTGCCTATAATCTGGAGGTTGAAGTAGGAAGATCAGAAGTTCAAAGTCATCTTCAGCTATAGTTAGAGGCCAGCCTAGGATATGTGAGACCCTGTAGAGAAAGGGGGCAGGAGAGGAAGGAAGGAAGGAAGGAAGGAAGGAAG